AGCTTGTTCATCATCCGGCCCAAGTGCACCTCGTCAATGACGCACAGGCCGAACTTGTGCCCATAGACTGTCTTGGGCGCCCAGCGCCTACTCTTTGCCCCCGTGCTCGGAGCCACCCACTTGTCCTTCTTCGTCGCGAAACACTTGTCCGCGTCAGATTGTACTGCCTGTTTACTCCTAATTAGCTTTGATTTTGTCATTATCATGATCTTACCGTAGACGTTGCTAAAATTATACGATGGTGAAGCGCGTGCTTTGATCTGCCAAATACTTTGTCCGTCCAAAATTGCTGCTGCGTGTCCACTGAGCCAGCGTACATGAACAGATCAAATGCATCCTTCTCAAGGTAGTGGTGCATTTCTGCCTGCACCTGTGCAAACAGATTGACCAGGACGACGAATATTGGCGGCTTGTTCGTCAAGTTGCCGTCCTTGGTCACACAGCAGCAATTCACTGCGTCTCATCAGCGGCCGTCCTAGACGCCCGGATTACCACTCACCAAACATCCCCGGAAATTGCTCGTGTTGCACGAAGTATTCACGGTAATACGCGCGAAGCGCGATCAGACCAATGGCTTGCATGGTCTTTCCGACTCCTACTTCGTCCATTTGAAGCGTCGGCTTGCCGTCCATCATACGCTGCGCCATTTGCAGCATCCCCACGTACTGGTGCCAGCGTGGCTCCAGTGGGACCACGTCTGGACTCGCTGCCACCTTCTGGCCTTCTGCCGTCCACGGGTCTAATGCACCACCTGGGTGCTCCTTCTTATTAAAAAATGGCATTCCATCAGCCAGAATGCCCAGCACTCCCATGACCTTCATTGTATCCCATTCTTGAAACGCTTCCGTCCCCGACTCCCAGTTATTGAGTGGGAGCGCGTCTTCCAACTCAATTTGCAGAACGCCTTTGGCGCGATCGGCCTCTCCTCTGATCATTTTGATCAGATCACCGGTCAAGATCACAATCTTGTTTTCCGATGCGGGATGCTGCAGAGCATCACGAATCGCCTTCGGCAACTCTGTACGACATTTTAACTGCAAGTCAATAAAATAAATGATTACTTATGCATTGCATTTCCCGTCGACTCCTTCCGTCCCACCACAGCCAGCATATCTTGGACCTGTTGGTCCTGCTCCTTCAACCACGCAATTGATCGCTGATCTTGAAAATATACTAGCATATTTGCTAGCGTCTTGCTCAAGCTGAGATACTTTCGTATCTCGCTTCATCCTGGCGTGGCCCCAGCGGCCATTATATCTATCTGATGTTAGTAAGAGCTTAGATTATTAGTAAATTCTTCTTACCCTTCCACATTCGTTCCGCTCTCTCAATACGCTTGTCCAATCCTTTTGCCTTCCAATTAATCGCCTTACGATACCTGTTCCAAACGCACGCCATCACTTGTGTGACAAACAAATGGGCATCAGGATTGACATGCGAGTCCATCACCCAGACCTCTTCTCCAAACAGGGCATCCGCGACAGCTCCATACTGAGATGAGACCTGGCTGCGGTCCAGCGAAGGCAGCTGACCCACATATTAGTGTGTAAGCTAAGACCCATTGTATTAATACAGTGCTTACCTCTCGTGTATTCGTCAACTTCATGATCTTGGTGAGTGAGAACCCATCCTCGGTGAGCGTGGCGTCGATCACATCGTTGAGCTTCCACTCACTCCAACGCGCTCCAACCCAATCGATCCACACCTTCCGCCCTTGAGAGTTGTTGTCTCTTGTCACCGCAGACTTACCCTTCTTCGTCTTGACCAGCTTCCCAGTCGTAATATATGCATGTCGCGCGTTTGTGCTCTCTTGCATGTGGAAATTGTGAATGAAAGCGTTCACAGACTCGTATACCTCATCTGACCAATCGGACGGCTTGTGATCCACTGCTGGCTGTGCGTACGGAGGACCGCTGAGGTTAGTAATCCCTTGCCACGTGGGCCAGGTCCAAATGGCTGGTTTCTCCTGGAATAACTCCAGGAGTGCACCCACAATTGGCATCGAAGGCATCTTGAATGTTCTTTGCGAGTGACTGAAAGGTCGCTTTCAAATGCATGTCCTTTTATCTCTGTCCGTATCACGCCATACTACATTTCGGGCGTCCCTGACGGCTGCATCTTTTACCTGCCCCCCTCCTCGTGTTCTTCGAGCAAAATGGCCAATGAGCTATTCGCGCCTCCCCATTGGGCGTCCAGGATGGCCGTCTCACACCTTGCCACCTTTAGCCTGATATAGCTATCTTTCTAGCGTACTTTCTAATACTTACGCATTCTCATATTGGCCCCTGCTTCTATTATTTCCGTGAGCATCAACAAAGATGATGTACGAGGCATGTTACTACTTTCGAGTATTCTTCTCATCTCTGTCAAATCAGTAGCCACCTCATGTCTGATTATCTGCCTCATGTCTGATTATCTCCCCATCATTATCATCAAGATCTGTAATTATCAAGATTGGCAGCATCTTTTTACACGGTCATAAATATTTCCTTATGTTTCACCATAGGTAAGGTTATAACCTTGTCCATAGTGAGATTGTGCTAAGCCCGTCAGCAACCTGTGGTCTGCACGATGCAGCAACACTGCATCATGCAGACCACAGGTTAGCATCCACCCTTTGCACAATCCCACTACGGACGCGGAATAAGTCGGTTAATGGCCATGAATGTTATGGCCGTCCTAGACGGTCAGCTTATACGCCCATCTCATGTAGCTGTTCGCACAATATGTCAGCCATGTGGTCAGCATGAGCCGCATGACTGTCTAGGATGCCCGTACAGCTCCGTGTTCGTTGGCCTGCCCATAGTGAGTTTCATAAGAACACCCAACCTACATGTAGGAATGTCCATCCTACGCGTAGGAATGTTCATCCTACACATAGGAATGTCCATCTATGTTAGCCATGTGGTCAGCATGAGCTGCATGGCCGTCTAGGACACCCATACAGCTCTGTGTCCGTTGGCCTGCCTGTAATGAGTTTCATAAGAACACCTAACCTACATGTAGGAATGTCCATCCTGCGTGTAGGAATGTCCATCCTACACGTAGGAATTGTCCATTATGGACGTAGGTTTGGGTGTTTGTTGCGTAGGTTGGGCGCTTTTTCAAACCTACAAATTCCTACGAGGCCTCATAATCTAACCAACTCAGTGTTTCATACTTATTAAAACTCTATTTGCTTTACCTATTTAAGTAGCACTACTTGCGCTACTGTACTTTAGTTTTGTCCTCTTG